AAAGCTCGTGACTTTTAGTATTAATTATTCCTAACAACTTGTATACCAAACCGAACTAAATCAAACAGTCAGCTTTTTACCAAACAGCTATCACCTTTTCTTTTTAAGATCTTTTCAGTAACTAAAAGCTAACGGTTACTAAAAAGCTCACAAAAGTATCTTTTCAGCTAGTTGTGCCAAACATACCCTGAATATGAGAGGGCCATTCGTGGATAGTTGGATTGGGGTTCGGGAGGGATGTGAGTTTCCTTTATTTCTCACATTAAATCATTGGTTTCGAGATGATTTCTTTGTGTATTTGTTATTCTTTGCATCATTCGAAGTATATGTACGTTAGTAATGCTAACTTGGACTCCTATCCGAGGTTAGCAAGTATGAAGTATCCATACGTTCAATTAGCTTTTATACCTGCTTAGTGACCTTAAAAAATATAAATATTTCCTCAAAAAATTGAGTATTGTCAAAGGGGCGAGTGTTTGATGTCATATTGTCATTGATGATATTAATTAATTAGGAGTTTAGGAGTAAGAATATCAAGAAAGCCCTGAACTTTGTCCATTGTCACCGACAATGGACAAATTGTGGATCTTACAATTTGTTACCACATCTTCCACTCATGCCTGCTATAAATATTATTAACAATATTGGAATTAAGGAAGACCAACTATTTGAGGGACGATCTATCTGTAGTGAAAGAAAAGAGGTACGGGATCCGATATTCTGTACCAATACTCCGTATTTAACACCGCAATCGAAAAAGTATTAATATACGGAGTAATAAATTCCACATGGACTCCTAATTTGTGTTTTCGGACTTTATGCATTGGAGGTTACCTTCTTATTTCTCCGTCTAGTCACTCCACTATATCAAGAAAGCCTTTTACTTAATTGACATTTGGCATAGTTTATTTAGACTAGAGACTAGTGCATTGCGGATGCTCTAAGTACTTGTTTTCAAATTTGTATTTCATATAATTTTCTGTTTATCATTTTTCTTATGAGATGTGGTCTTTAATAGTACTCAAAAGTCGCTTATGTTCGTTCACATGTCCTTAACAAGCTTCATTAATTAAACTCTCATCATAAACTCTTAACAAGTTTTGTGATTCGTATTCTTCTATTTCTTTCGAGAGAAATTTCAATTGTATAACTTCATTTTCTAAAACTGAATACCAAATACAACCCATAATGTTAAATTGAAATATAGGGTATAATACAACTTTGCTGAAAAGCAGCTCACCAGTCACCAGGCCATCAAAAACTTATGTAAAAAATTGATAGTTTAAAGGAAGACAAATTGACGGGATGGATCGAGTGAATGAATAAAAATGAATACGTAGTATAGTAGAAGACAATTTGTAGTAGAATGTTAACTTAATTGAGAAGATTTATGAAGGATCCACAAACGATTAAACATAAAAAGAAGAAGAATCACCTCAAAAATAGGAGCTCATATCACTTACCCTAAGTAGTGAGTGAAACACATTTTAATAACACTTGTCAGTTGTCACCGTATTTCTTAGGATGTTTTCTTTTGGACTGAAATTTGTTGGTCTGGTCTGATCTGAACTAGTCTGGTTTGGTCTGGTAAACGTCTGGTCTCTGTATATTTTATAATTATCGAAGTCAGGTCAGGTCTGATCTGGTCTGTTTAAGTCTGGTCTGGTCTGATCTGGTCTATTTAAGTCTGGTCTGGGACTGAAAACAGTCCAAAAGAAAACATCCTTACTAAATTGAATAATTAGCAATCCTAACTATATACTCCGTACATTTTCCAAAAAAAAAAAAACTATATACTCCGTACAAAAGTTAATCAACTCTATGTCGCCCGTCCAATCTAATGTTGCCTTTGATTTTGGGAAAAGGTCAAATACTAGGAACGCAAAATAAACAATTTCGGGAAAAGGACAAATAAGTCATCGTATTGAAAAATGACAATTAAACTCTCGTAATAAAAAAATAATCAAGCCCACGAAATTGTAAGAACACAAAATGAACAATTTGGTCATCCACTAGATATATGTTTGGTGTCTCTAAAGATTAGTCTCTATCAGCATCTTCAATGATGAGATGAGTTTTGTTTCCACCTCTTGCACTTATCAAATACACTTGGCTTCTCCAATGCAGAAAAGGAAATACACGGTGTATTGTATATGGCATAGAGCAAGGTCTATCAACGGCACATTGGCACGACAAAAAAGAGAGAGGAAATGGTGGACCTATGTGTATGATAGCCACTCATTTCTTTTACTCCTTATTTTTCATTTTTTATCTTGCATTTACATTTGTTGTTCCGCTCAACCTCCATATGAGATGTATGCAATGCACCTTCCTTATTTTTTAATAGACTTTGTCTCTGTTTTTGTAATGTCACATGCAATAGACCAAGAAAATTGGAGATGCACTATGGGAATGTTAGATTACTGGGTATGTTAGATAGATGGGAATGTGATTAATGTATAGCCCATTTGTGTTTGGTTACGCTTATGGGAATATTACATTAAGTTATTTGGTTGAATGATATCTTATATTACATATTTGGTGAATTACTTAAATGCCCTTTAAGTATTTGTTTCTTAACACATTAAACTTATCAATTATTTAATGAGTTTTATTCACAATATGCCAATATGGAAACGCAACTCCTCCTTAGACACCAACATCTTCATTTAAAGAAAAATCATTTTTGAAATCCCAACAACAGATATCTCTATTGTTGAACAAAGCTCGGTTAAGGAGCTTTCTATGTATCTAACATTTCTTGTTGATTATGAAAAAGATAATGACTTTGACATTCTAAAGTGATGGAAGGATAAAAGAAAGAACGTTCCCGATTTTATCAAAGATGGCTAAGCAAGTGCTATCAATGTCAATTTCAACAGTTGTTGCAGTACAAGAATTTAGTGCGGCCGGCAAAGTGCTAATGGATTATAGAACGAGATTGAATGCAAACTCTCTTGAGATGCTTGTTTGCTACCACGATTGGTTGAAGGCCTAACGTAGAACTCAAGAACTTAGCATCACCTCCACCCAACACTTTTGTGGAGGAACCAACAACCGACGGTGGCGGAGATTCCGATTGATTATTATTTATTAGAAAATGATTTCACGTTTTAATTTTTTCTCAATTCTCAATTGTAGACTATAGTTCATGTTTCAAATAAATATACTTTAATTGTTTTTATATGTAGCACTTCTTGAATTAATTTTTAAACATGAATTATAAAATGTACCCGGCCCGGCCCGGGTAGACCGGCCCGAATCCGTACCGGTCAATAGCCGGCCGGTCCCGGGATACATTCCCAAAAAGCCAAGCCCGGACGGGCCCAACCTGGAACCAGAACAGGACCGGGTCCGGTCCACCCCTAGATATGTCGATTAATGAAACATGGGTTTTTTCGGAAGAAAATTAATAAGCCACCAGGAATCTTACAAAACCTAAGGCATTGGTGGGTTTGACATGCCTGGTAATGTGATCACCTTTTCCACTTTTGGGAATGTACCATTCCCAAAAAAAAAATCAAACCCGTGAACCAAACACAGGTATCTCACATTCCGGGAATGAGATTCCGCCCTCTATAGGATATCACCTTGAACCAAACACTGCCTGAGTGTTTGATTAGATAGTTTTCCAACACAAGATCTTAGTTGCATCTTTTGTTATAACACGAGGATCTATTTGTCAATTTTATGTATTGATTTTGTAAATATGTTATGTAACACCCCGGCCCCACCGGACCCGAGGTAGTTACTTCGGACCAATAGTACTGTCCTCACAAACCACCACAAGCCTTTACCGCGCACTTTGTCCTCACTCATGCGCGCACTTTGTCCTCACTCATGCGCGCCCTGAGAAACTTCCCAGGGGGTCACCCATCCCAAGACTACTCCCGTGCGAGCACGCTTAACTTTGGAGTTCTTGGGTAATGAGCTCCCTTAAAAGGAGATGCACCTCTGTTGGTATGAGTAGTACTATTAATCCTCTTAAATTAATCTCGAGTATTACATGTTACTATTTCCTTAGTTCTTTTTTAATTGCACTCGTCTACTTTGTACATTTTCCAACACACAATTTAATCGTCAATATATCTTATTCTCTATTTGCAAAAAAAAAAAAAAGATATTTTGAAAATTTACAATGAAACTAATTGAACAATATTATTTTACAAAATAGTTCTCATAAATTAATAAATAAAATGTCATTAAAATAGAGCATATGAATAATCTACGATTCAGTATTTAACAAAAACAACGAAGCATAGTATTTCTATATTATCCTTCAAAATAAAAAGTACTCCCTCATCCGTTCCTTAAAAGTTGCAACATTTGGAGTTTTTGCACTATTTACACACATTACTTTGATTACGACTTTCTAATAATATATATATATATATATATATATATATATATATAATCAAATTAATATGTATAAAATGTTATTAAATTTTTAGTAATGTAGACTTTGAAAATATTAACTTTTTTAATGTTTACTACTTCATCCATCCCATTAAGAATGAGACAATCCGATTTACGATGCTTGATCGACAATAAAGTAAATAGATCTCTGTCCGCATTCATATTATTTAAAAAATACATATTCAAAAACTAAATAAAAGTTTTACAAAGTCGCAAAAATAAAAATCAAATTTAACAAAAAAATTGATATACTACCGTATAAAGTAACCGTATAAAGTAAGAGATTAAAAGTGATTTGTATTGACCAAATGAATAGAAAATGATACTCCCATATTTTTTTTTTGGGATGTTTCAAAATGATGGTCCTGTTTCCATTTTTGGAAAGAAAGATGTGGTGGTCTACATCATTTCACCTTTTTTTTTATTCAAATCTCAACCACAACTTTTACTTTTTCAACCACTTTAAAATTTGTGCCCAAAAGAAATGAGATCATCACTTAAATATAATTAATAAATACTACGTATAATACAAATCCGTCCCTTAAATATAATTATTTGTGACCTTCACGTTAATTCTCTACTTCAAAGTGCAAGTACAGCAACTTTTAAGGAAGAGAATGCATGTGCTCGAGTATTTCCTCGGTACCCACAAGCTAGGTACAAAATAGGTCGTTTGACTCGTTCACCATACAAAGCATAAATCTGCGCCTATCTTCCCCATCACAAATTCCCTCTTCAATCTCAATAATTTCGGTCTGATCTGTCCATGAAAATGGTGTCCAAGCTTGGCACCTGGTTGGTACCTGTCTTTGTGATTCTGTTGGTGGGGATGTCCACCGCATCTGAAATCACCGCTGAAGAAGAAGAGCTTTCTTCCATGGTGGAGCGCCACGAACAATGGATGGTGCGCCATAATCGTTCGTACGCCGACGAAGCCGAGAAGGCCAAGCGATTCCTTGTGTTCAAGAAGAACGCGGAGTTTGTCGACTCTTTCAACAAAGGCGATCATTCTTACACACTGGGTCTCAATGACTTCTCCGATTTGACCGACGATGAGTTCACCAGTTCAATGATGGGTAACGAACTTACAGATCTCAGTAGTGATTAATCAGTGATTCGATTTCTTGGATCTGGGTTTTACTTCACTTTTTGACTTTTTGATGTAATTATCGTGATTAGACAAGTGTTTTTCATTTACTACTCCGAAAGTCCGGATGAAGAAATACAGTTCTCATTCTGTAATTAGCTAATTAGCTAATTTGGTACTCCGTATCTGGTAAACCGCAGTGCCCTCCCTCTTTAATTATAGTATGATGATAGATAGTATGAACGTATATTTTCTCTGCAATTTGGTACAATTTCTATGGATATGATACAATTTGCAGCAATTCTACATGTCTTTTCATAGTATTAAGGCCCCGTTTGGATAGCAGCGGTTTGAGCAATCCGCTGATTGTTTTGAACTGCAAACCGCTGCAATTTGCAGCGGGTAGGCAAGAATCCGCCGAAAAACAAACGCAGCCTAAGTTTGGAAGGCCTCTTAGCATTTCTTTTCCGCATGGACGAATGGAAATCAAGACGGCTTATGTTTAGCACTATGAGTTCAAACTGGGGGCTAATGTATGAAATTTAGGCTTCTCTTTGAATTATGAATTATTCTATGGGGATTGAAATTTGAAGTGTTTGAAACTAAACTGCTAGCGGAATGAAATGGATTTGGTAAAAAAGTTGAAAGAATGACTGAATAATATGGTATGAAATTTACATTAAAGTGCATATAATTAATTATTAGGGAGTAGAATAAAATGTCTATACCGAGGAAGAAATCTCTCATATTCTTGACCGGAATAGTAAGTGGGACAAATCTCATCTTCTCAAATTCTCTTATTAGGGAGTAGAACTATGATTGTCCAGGTGAAGAAAAAAATGCATCGAATGAATGATCAATATAGAGAATAAATTTTCATTGAAGGGATAATAAGAGAAGAAACACAAAGAAGAATGAATTAGCACGGTCAAGAAATCAAACGAAGAATTTTGCGATTAAGGGGTGATGGTAGTGTGCAGTGAAGAAACCAGAAGGATATTTTTAGAACAAGGGTGGATTATACGATCAAACGTTGCATTATTTAATTCCGCCAATTTCAAACATAGAAATAGAACCTACTAGCAGGAGTCATAAAGATTGTTTTTGCTTCTACGACTATTCGGAACAAAGTATTCATTCATTCATATTGCAATAACAGTGCTCCTTCAAAAACACCTCCTTGCCATAGGAGATTTGATGAAAGACTTTATTACATTATTAGTTTTACCTTAATAGTACTTGTTTTGAGAGTCAATGTTTCATTTCTGACCGTTTTAAGTTGTCAATTTTGTGTCTAGCGAGTCAAATTTATGTAGTGACTATGTCTATGTCTGTTCTTAAAGCTTACTATTACTACTACGTAATAGATTTGTAACAGCCGTTTGAAGATTATTTTTCATATTTTTAATATTAATACGTAGTATAAGTTATTTATAATAAAAAAGGAAATGAAACCTACTCATCGAATGATTTGCATATGAAGTACATGATATCTGTCTATCCTATTTCTTTTTTGGCCGTGTTTGGCATTTATTTTTTAGTGGATAACGAAGAGCGAATTGTGTTAGTAGGTTGTCAATTGTGAATTCTGTCATCGGGTTTGATTAGCGGAATAAGTTAGCGCGTTGTCAAAAGATGTTTGACAATTTAGTTGTTTGACCACAAAATTAGTACGGAATAGAAAACACAATATTTTAAAACGGTAATCCAGAACTTTCTTATTTGCAATGTTTCCATTTCAATATTTTCGTCCAAAAACGCTAAGGTCAAATAACTACTCCTATTTACCAAACTATCTTTTCACATTTTGAAAACGCTAAAAGTGATCAAATCAATTACCAAACACATCTTATAAACGTAATGACAGTTTTGTTATGAATAAAAATACTGGTGTGTTTTTCAAGGAAAAGTTTTTTGCGTTTATGGTACTACTATGGTATATCCGTAATTCCGTATGGATGAATTACCAATTTTATTAGAACACAATTACTGGGATCAGTTTGACGGCTATACGTAAAAGTTGAGGTCTCATCTCCAACACACTTTTTGTAACTGATGAAGCAGTCCATTTTTGCGCCCATGTGATCTCAGATTCCGAATCAGTACTGACCATTGTCGTCTACCACCAACTCTTCTGTCCTCTTCGAATATTCACAATTCTCCCCCGTCGTTTCGGTCTCTGTCTATCACAGAGAGAGTAAGAGACTGAGCGAGCACTGCTGGGTTGGCGTTTTATTTCTCGATCGGAGAAGATGAAGAAATTCTTCATCTCAGCCGGACGGACGGCGGCGTCGCCATCAAAACCTTCCCCGATCGCTCCCCGTTCTTTCTCCACTCTCAACGCGTCTCTCCAAGAAAATGCCCCGTTTCTCCCCAAAATGCCCCCCTTCGATTACTCTCCGCCTCCTTACACCGGTCCCTCCGCCGCCGAGATCCTCCAGAAGCGCCAGCGTTATCTCAACCCCGCCATCTTCCACTTCTTCAAGAACCCGGTGAGCTATAAATTTCCCACTTCAGGAAAAAGATCGCATTTTTCACAAACCATATATTCTTTTTGTTTGTGTTGTGCAGTTGAATTTGGTGGACGGGAAGATGCAATACTTGTTCGACGAGAACGGGCGACGGTATCTGGATGCGTTCGGAGGGATCGCCACCGTGTGTTGCGGCCACTGCCACCCTGAGGTGGTGGAGGCTATTGTCAATCAAACAAAGCGTTTGCAGCATTCCACTGTATTGTATCTCAATCACACAGTCGCCGACTTTGCAGAAGCTCTTGCATCAAAGATGCCCGGTGACCTCAAGGTAGCCTTTAGTTTCATGCTCATTTTTGAGAACAATTAAACTTACACAATGTAAAGTTGAATCAAGTATACACTCTTGAACTCTATAACAAAGACTTTGACTTTGACCCCTCAACTATTATTATATACGTAGTACGGAGTATATAAAGGGTATATATGTTCATAATGCTACATCCCTTCTTTGGTTAATAGAAAGACTTTGACTTTTACACTATTCCCCTGCTCTTCTTTATTTATGTATTAAAAAATCACATTATAAGAGCTTTGGTTATATTTTCTTAATCTTGCACGATATGTTTTTTACCAATAGCCAATTAACTATACCAATAATCCATGTCGTGCATTGAAAAACGAGAAAAGTCAAACTGTCGCAAACAGTGAATTTATATAATTCAAGGGATTAATTTGTTCAAATTTTATAAATTTTTTGTTTATTTGCTCAAAAAGAAGGTTAGAATGATATAAATGTGCTATGACACATAGTTTTATCTGTTCCTTCATCCTTACCCTTAAAAACCTGCAATATAAGAAATATATTAAAGAAATGGGAAAACATCTATTTCCTGATTCAACAAAAATCTGAACACATTCACGGGTTTTTCGATAGTTAGTATTTGTTAGAAAATGTGGCTGATAACAAAATCCATGCCAACCAAATGAGCTCATTGTCTTTGTTTGTAACTTTGTACATTTCCATCTCTGAAATTTTGTTTTTGTGTTTTTTCTTAAAGGTTGTTTTCTTTACCAATTCTGGGACAGAGGCCAATGAACTGGCCTTACTAATGGCCAGGTTGTATACTGGTTGTCAAGATATTGTTTCAATAAGGAATGGTTATCATGGCAATGCATCTTCTACAATGAGTGCTACTGCCCAATCTAACTATAAATTCAACATAGTGCAGGTACATATAAATGCCATTATAGATTTTTAATTAGCATTTCTATAATTCCTCAAGTGGCATAAAAGAACATATTACTTTAACTTGTTTTTATAATCAACAGACAGGAGTGCACCACACTCTAAATCCAGATCAGTATAGGGGTATGTTTGGCTCAGATGGACCGAAATATGCCAGGGATGTTGATGATATTATTACTTATGGAACAACGGGTCGCGTTGCTGGTTTTATTGCTGAAGCCATACAGGTATTGTTGTTGTACGAATATAAGCCTATGACACCCATGCTGTCACAGGCTATTTTTGCACACATCAGTTCTGGACCAGAAGATCTGGAAGTAGGAAAACCAGAACTGGTTCGGTTTTCTATGGCTCCAGTTCCAATTCTAAACCGTTTTTCTACTTTTTATGATAGAAATAAAAAAATATGCAACTGGAACCATTTTAATCTGGGTCGGTTTCCTGTTTCCTCCTTTCTGGTTCTGAACCGGAGCATTGTCCATCCCTAATTGGGCGTGATCATGGACCGAATCTAGAAAGAAAAGTGGTGGCATGCTTGCTCTAAATAGTTTAGTGTACATCTTGTTGATTTTAAGGAAATAACAATCATTAGCTTCAGCACAAGATATGTACTTGAACATATTGAGGTCTTAACAATTTAAGAATAGGTGATCCCCACCAGGGGAGTGTGTAAAAAATGACTCAGTCCTTCCCGATGAAGGAAAGACTAACGACTACGCAAGAAATTTTATGATCCATGCAATCGATTTGTCCTTGAAATTTTACTATTGTTTTTTTTAAATGACAGGGTGTTGGAGGAATAATGGAGTTGGCCCCGGGTTACTTGCCAGCTGTCTATAGCAGTATCAGAAGAGCAGGAGGCCTATGTATAGCAGACGAGGTCCAATCAGGCTTTTGTCGGACAGGGAGCCATTTTTGGGGATTTGAGGCCCATGGAGTTGTGCCTGATATTGTTACCATGGCAAAGGTAATATTCTTTCTGGCATCCCATCCCAACAACATCGAGGTGGATACATTTATGATGGCCTTTTGTATTTGGTATATTTATCAGGGAATTGGAAATGGCATTCCACTTGGAGCTGTCGTCACCACTGCCGAAGTTGCAAAAGTCTTAACAGACCGGAGTTACTTCAACACTTTTGGCGGGAATCCTGTGTGCACGGCTGGTGGTCTAGCGGTTCTTAAAGTGTTGGAAAAAGATAAGCTCCAACAGAATGCATTCACTGTGGGGTCATATCTTAAAGAGCGTCTCATCTCACTGATGGATAAGCATGAAAGTACGTTTTCTTCTTTTATGTTCAGAACAAGTTAAGAATGGTTTGTTTGAAAACAGAACCTATCTATATCCATATAGCGTTTCTGCACCCTTTGGTCATCTGACTATTGTGGTATGACACTTATAGTATACATCCTTAAAATTGGTACGTGTTTTTGAACTTTTTCACATTTATTCCTTTAACTAGTGTACCAATAACACTTTGTTTGCCAACTATTCTGATGGTGACACTTTTGATCGTCCAACAGTTGTGATGAAATTCAAAAGATAGTACCAAAAATGTCATTGGAGGACTAAAATCTGTTACATTCAAGGACATGTACTAAAAGTGTCATTGGTACAAAAGCCAAAAGTGGAAAAACTCATGTTAATTTGCAAAGAGATGAATATGAAGGGTCAAGATTGTATTCAAGAGTGCCACATTAATTAAGAATGATAAACCAATATACCTTTGATAGTAGCAACTTAAAGCATATTTCGGATTTTGCAGTTATTGGTGATGTGAGAGGACGTGGTCTGATGCTAGGGGTTGAGCTTGTGACTGATAGGAAGCTGAAGACTCCTGCAAAGGTTGAAATACTTCATCTAATGGAAGAAATGAAAGGTGCATTTCTTTTTCTTTACTCTTCTTCTGTGTTCAGGTCTGTTCGGAAAACGGAAAAGTGCTCGAGAAAGAAATTCGGGAGGAGAGCATTGTATAAGTTTGGAAAGAAAGAAAATGTTGATGAAAGTAAAATATTGGGGTCAAACTCAATAATCTTAGGTTTTATATTTGCTAGTATTATTTTTTATTCATTTATATTTATAAATGCTAAGAAATCTATAGATATGTAAAAAAAAGTTTTTGTTTTCCCTAGTACTTTCCGAGATTCAAACATAGCCCAAAATTGTTCATATTATATCTGATAAACAATTATTGTTTTCAGAGATGGGAGTACTCGTAGGAAAAGGTGGATTTTTTGGGAATGTATTCAGAATCACTCCACCACTCTGCTTCACCAAGGAAGATGCTGGTTTGTCCTTGATCTTTATAAGGAGTATATTTTAGTATTGCCATTACAATTCTTTCTTGATTTTTAATATCTGATTGGATCCTAATCCCATGTTTTACGTTTGTTTTTAAAGATTTTCTTGTAGATGTGATGGATTACTCTATGTCAAAGATGTGAAGTGTGTAGGAGATAAACAAAAAGATCTGTCTACCTGTACTTGGCCATTCAACAACCTTCTTCTCCTATGGACTCCTTATTCTTCTGTCATATATTACTGTTGTTGTTTGTTTAGCCATCACAAACAAATAAGTGCCATATATATATGGCAGGGAGATTATGAGACATCACCTCGTTGTCTCTATCTCTCGCACATTTATTCTTTTTATTCTAAATAGTAGACGTGTATTATGGGTAAATAGAAACCTTTAGTTTATTCTCAAGACTCAACTTTTGTGGACTCAAGTTTGTTGTGAAATTTCCGTCTTTTGTCATTCGAGATTGCAAATTCTTTTTGTATGACATTTCTCAAAAAGGTTCTCTTTGTGAGATGGTCTGCGAATGGAGCTGCATGGCTCTTGCTTTCATGTCAGAATAGGGGACCAATGACCTCTAGCCCAGTTGATTGGAGAGATGATGTATTATGAATTTTGTGACTAAAGTATTTCAAATCCCCCAAAGACTCCAGTAATATTGTTCAATATTGAGGTAATAGATGACAATATGAGGGGAATTCATCTAGGGGGATTAGCGATCGGCTTGAGCATGTTTTATCTCTTATCAGTAGGGCTGGCAATATCACCCGCACTCGTGGATACCCGGTCAACCCGAACCGAAAATATGGATGAAAACCCGAAGAAGTATGGATGAAAAATGGACGACGGGTGGATCAAAAGACGGGTGGATTGGGTGTGGAGGAAGGTTCATCCAACCCATCACCCGACCCATCCACCCACATGTTGACCCGCATATAAGTATATACTCCCTCCGGTTCTAAATAAACTTCACACTTTCCTTTTCGGGACGGTCCAAAATAAACTTCACACTTCCTTATTTCCTTATTTGGCAAAGAAATCTACATCAAAACAGTGTTAAACAGTGCCAAACAGTGTCTCAACAGTGCCAAACAGTGTCTCAGCAGTGCCAAACAGTGTCTCAACAGTGTACTCTACAGTAAAGTCAACTTTATTTCCTTAATAACTGTGAAGTCAAACACTGAAGTTTAAAAAGAACCGGAGGGAGTAATATATAATATATATTATATCTATTTAATAATATATAATAATAATAGTTAATTGGTGAAACAAAGATAATTGGAGAGCTTCAAGAAGTGACAATTAAATAGCAAAAATAGTTTTGTGCCGATGCATAAATGCAGAATTTAACAACTTGAAGAAGTTTATGTCTATTTTGTTTAACATTCAGTTTTTTCTTTGTCATCGGCAGTGAATTAATGATTGTAATATACGTAGTATTTAATTGCTCATGTTTTTGTTGTTATTTTACAATGAATTCTTAATTTTGGTTTTTAATTATCATGATTTCTTTTTGTATTTTATTTATTTTGTCTCAAGTTTGACCATTTATATTTCACCCGCAACTCACCCGATCCACCCGACAACCCGTTCAAGATGGATGAGTTGGATGTGGATGTAATTTTTACTAGATGATGGACGGGAGGGTGAAGTATAAAAAATTAACGGGTGGACATGGATGAGCCTCCACCCGGTGAAAATCCGACCCGCTGCCACCCCTACATATCAGACTTCAACAATTATAGAATACTTAGAGAACATAGATCTATCAAACTGCATAAGTACATATCACATTGAAACAAATTTGACCAGAAGTGGTCGCAGGTAGGGGTGGCCCGGTTCCGGTCTGACTGGCCCGGGAACTGGACTGGACCACCACTGTGCGGAACCAGACCGGCTTGTAACCGAGATCAGTTCCGGGCCTAGGACCGGCCCAGGGTGTTTGTGTGGGCGGTTTTAGAAAAGCTAATATATATATATATATATATATATATATATATATATATATATATATATATATATATATATATATATATATATATATATATATTATATATATATATATATATATATATATAAACCGGCCTGGCCCT